TTAATTTTTAATGTCTTTTAATATAGGTACTATTTATAAGCCTAATTTATAGATAAGGAAATTAGGCAATTTAAGTCACTTGGCCAAAGACAGCTGTTAATGAAGAGGCAGATCTATGTATGACTTGAATATAGGTCTCTGAGACAACAACGTATGCTTGCATCCACTTGGTTACACTGATATAGATAAGGATAAAGGAACCCAAGGCATCATGGCAGGCAAAATGGGCCCCTGATAAGCAGTACCAATTAGGTTGACACAAAGTTCAATGAGGTGGTGAAATAAAGTAAGTGGAAAACTAGCCAGTGGCAGGCCAGGAAAAATTACATATTTGAGCTATACTTGTAAATGTAGAATTCACAAATGAATAAATGGTGAAAAATACATATAAGAATCAAAGAGGAAACAAAAAAAGGATAGCAATGTCTTTGTAATGGCCTAAAAAGTTTTAGAACTTAAAGAAATAACCTTCAGTTATCTGATAAGTTTGTTCAGAAAATAGTGTATTCCCTATGGATGCCAAATAAATGGAATATAAACAATCTTTATAGTACCTTTGACTTGGATTTCCCGTTCTCTCTTGAGGAAGACATATCCTTGATTGCTTCTGGTGGCATATAATTAACTGTGCCAACCTATTTGACAAATCAGAGAAAACACAAATCAAAGAAAATATTTTATTCTACTTTAATTTTTTTAAAACATGAATGCTAGATTTTAGAAACTTGGATATTTACAGATTTCAGTGATATACTTAAAAATTCAAATAACTGCCAACAACATTAAGATATATATATTAAATTTCTACACAAGTCCAGCATAATGAACTGTGTTCATAATCAGAAAAATTGACTCCTTTCAGAATACTGTGCTTTTTCTATGATTATAGTGAGCAACTAGTAATTTCTGCTTTAAAAACTGTCCAGGCTAAAATTCTATTAATGTAGGGACCTGATTATCATTCATTTTTGTGCTGGAATAGATGCAATATTTTTTAAAAAATAAACCAATCAGGCAACCAACAATATATTAATATAAACATCTATCTGTCTCCCAGTACTCCTTGGGCCCAAGTCCAAACTGAAATAGGATGGGCATCTAAATCACCTGAGTTTCTACAATAGGATTATGCCAGCCTACATCGCACTCATTTAATTCTAAAATAAATGGTTCCTGCTGGGCATAGTGGTGCACAACTGTAATCCCAGCACTTTGGGAGGCTGGGGTGGGTCGATCACTTAAGGCCAGGAGTTCTAGATCAGCCTGGGAAACACAGCGAGACTCTGTCTCCACAAAAAATTACAGGCATGCACCTGTAGTCTTAGCTACTTGGGAGATTGAGCCAGGAGCACTGCTTGAGCCCAGGAGCTGGGGATTGCAATGAACTGTGATCACACCACTGCACTCCAGTCTGGGGGACAAAGTGAGACCCTGTCTCTAAAACAAATAAACAAACAAACAAAATGGTCTGCTTTCAAACACAGAATATCTATACTTTAGGGTCTTGTCATAGAAGGTACTTTAAGATGATTTACGAGTTACTGTTCAACTACACTTTTGATAAACGATTGTCAAATAGAATTGTTTGAAGGGAATGCTGCCCATCTATTCCTCCTAACAAAGTCTAGTTTTACTCCTGGGATTAAGGTAGATCCACATCAGAAATCTGTATACATGGAACACATCATCTTGGCTCCAAGTAAGATTATGTTTCAGTTATACCTTGGTGCCATTGTTTTAGCTTTTATGGGACAACTTCATTAAGTTTGCTATTGCATATCCTATTATAAAAATGCCATTGAGTACAATATTTATTATGGCATTTCCAACATGAAGGCCCACTTAAATTTTTTTCCAATTTAACTCATAGGGAAAGCTTTTCTTCTCTGGAAGAATAGAAATAATTTTACCTCATTGACAATGAAAAACATAGAACTGCAATTCCCTTTTTATTTGTTATCAAGAAACTCTGAGCCAAATTTTCAGGTCAATTTTAGATCATGACTAAAATGACTTCCATGGCAGGTATTACTGCTTCTCTATCTCGACTATAGGAAAATCATTCAAAATTGCTGGATATATTTCTATCTGATCTTGACTTTCTATTCTAAATTATATTGATCATGATGTTGATTTTTTAGACTTACAGTATCTATTCTTATTAAAAGACTTTAAATCCTTTGAAGAATGAGAGAGGTAAAAATATAATACCCATTAGCAAAATAATACTACACAGGTGAAAAGGAGTTAAATTATACTGTGAGGTAACCAACCATTTCTTAAAAGTCTTACCTGAGAATCTTTAACAATACTTGTTGTATCTGGTTGCATTTGGTTTGCAATCCCAAAATCAATTAGCTTTAGCATTCCATCAACTATCAGAAAGTTGGCAGGTTTCAGATCACTGTGAACAATGCCTTAAAAATAAAAATCCATTATAATATTAGACAATGTAAACCATTCTAAGGACAAAAAATTTCACGATGTAGAAGTCAAGTAGGTTCTTTCGAGTAGCAAATCCAATGAAATATTAATTTTTGTATATTCTACAAATATATAGCACTAATTATGTGCCAGAAACTGTTCTAAGTTCCATTGCTTCTATAGTCCTGAATCACCTAATCCTCACAACAATGCTGATGTAAATACTATTCATACTACCATTTGTTTTTTTT